TATAAGCACCCCCCCACTCTTCCTTGAACACAAAATAAATTGGGAAATTTTTCAGGGATGGGATTATACCAGGAGAATCCCCATTTTAATCAATAGCAAGGCACTGTTTCAATTTTGCTTGTTTGTCGTGTTTTGACTTCTTATGTTTTTCCCCGTTTTTTTTTTTTTTTCTTCAATTTTATTATCGCAATAATAATCGTAATAATTTATTTTTATATAGATTTTCAAATATTTATGTATTTTTTAATTTATATTTACAGGTCTCACTCTAATTGAAGACCTCTCCAATTAAAGACCACCTCCATTTAAAGACCACTTTTCTGTGGTCCCAAATTAACAAATGTCTTTTTGTATTTTTGTTATTCTAATGAGAACAAAACTTCTAAAGACTATGAAAACCCCAGTCTCAAAACTTGTCTCTAATTGGAATTGTCAATCATAATTATTATTATATTCCTATAGATTTTAAAATATTGATAAATTTTTTCATTGAATGTTTTTTGTATTTGTCTTAAAAATTTTTAATACAAACCACTTCAGCATTGGCTGCTGTTTGTAATTTCACTTTGTCATACCGAATAAATAAAAAATAAAAAATTCAAAGCCAATATTAGGATATTTTTCCTGAGAATATTTGTAAAAGTCAGACCCTGGGCTTTTGCTTGAGGAAAGACTGGTACATAAAATTGGGCATAACGTAGGTGGTGGGCCTATACCCGAGGAACTACAGTATAGGCTAATCATCCACTATATTATCATTTAAAATTTATAATATCAAATATAACTCTTTAAATATTACAGAAAAGTTATGTTTTGTACTTGGTAATGGGAACGTATTACTGTACATGAAAATAAAATTATTTATTTGGGATTTATAGATAACTTTAGCAAATCACTATTTAAAAATTTGTGGAAAAAGGTCATTATTATTACATGCCTCTACATCATATCTAAACTTTTGTGTTGTATTTGACTTATTTGTATTTTAATAATAAATCCTTATTTTTTTAAATTAGCATTACTACAGTTCACCCATATTTATATTTTAATGTTTTTTTTTTTCAATTTAGTGGATGTTGTTAAAACACATACAGTACTCTATATCTGTTATTGTATAATTGTTTTTTAAACACAATTATTTATTTTATTTGTTTTTCTTTCTCTCTTTTATACACCAAATTATTGTGTGCTGCTGAGACAAAAGTGTATGTTCAGTAGAATAAATAAATAAATCAAATATTATTTCATTACTGTTCTAGGTCTATTACTATAAACAGTAATTTACTTCTTTTTTTTTAAATTATATTAAATGACTTTAATAAGAATACTGTATTAGTTACTTTACATTTTAAATGAATTTCTGATACACCGAATGCAATATAAAAGAAAAAATGAAATTAAGAAGACATATATCATACTAAAGTACTCGAAAAGCTAACATATAAAGCTTTATATCTTTCAATTTCATAACTTTTTCAGGCTTTCCATAAACAAATAAACTAAATATATATTTTCATGACCTAATATTGAATATAGCAATTGTTTATTTTCTCCCAGGGGATCAGTATATTTAGGAAGTATTTTCAAGACCTGTTATTCACAAGATGTAATAGATTTTTTTCTAATACACTATACAAGATGATATCAACTCATAAGCATGTTTCTATAATATTAATAGGTTAAGTGGCCCATTTATCAAACCATCAATGAATGCTACAAGAATTGAATTAAAATTTAATTTACAGCATTATGGTTTAAAATCCCTAAACTCACTTTGGTATTAAAAATTGTTGGAACGTGTAATATTAGTGGATGGTTATTGATAGGTGGTAAAATGGTACGTGTCATTAAATAAATGAAGAATACTACCAGCTTTTCTGTTTCTTGTATTTATGTAGTTTATATATTTTTATATATAATTTTCTTTCAATTTTGGTCTTGTAATTCAACATAGTTTAAGATCCTGGATCTCAGGGAAGAACAGTGCACTAATACTTGCTGAGTATACAGAATGTAATTTAATGTAGTTTAGGATCATACCCTAGACCCCAGGGGAAGAACAGTGCACTAAATACTGACCGGGCATCCAGAATAAAAAGATTTCTATCTATCTACCAGAATATTATTCTAATATGTTTCACAGATCAATGTGCTAATTAATGTTTCACGGGACATCTAAAACAGTCTGCTTGCAAACAAATGAAATGTTCTTTTGTACAGTAAACAGAATCTTATTAATTCTTTATTATGGTTAATCATTGAATAATGTAATCTTCAGAAATTACTCTTTGCTTTTCAACTAAATATTATTGGTATCACTATGGCAACAGTACGACAAAAGGTATTTTTATTCAAAGATTGTCATTTGATGATTCTTATTGTTCATGAGTAAAAATAGATTCATAATTAAACCTAAGAATATCAATCGTTAGCATCCGATACAATATATCTAAAATATTGCAATAACTGCGTTAATAGCCCAATTGGGGATCTGAATATAATACGTCCTTCCTGTTTAACATGCCAATCATAACTGACACGTAATACTCCAAAACAAAAAGTAAATTTAATATAATACGTACTCTACCACTTAACAAATTACTTTAAAAAATCTTTTCTTTATCTATAATATTAGCTTTTAGAAGTCAAGATTAAATTCTTTTCAAATAAATCAATAGTATAACTAATTACACTGGTAAAATACATTCATTCTGTAACATGAACCTGTAGCTTTAGAATAATTCTTTATTTTGTTTAAACTTTGCCATTTTAAATTATATTACATTTTAAACATTTAATTTACACAACCACTAACTGTTACTAACGATTAGCATTACCACGACAGATGATTCCAAGGTCAGCTTCATGTTCAGACATGAAATTATCGATCTAGCTAGCTCAAATGATAATGTAATTTTAACTAAAAAGCGAGTGCTAAAGTCAGTATTTAAAGTGCGAGTCTACACACCACATGTGAAAACAAACTACTAAAAATTTTAAGGGGGAGGGGCAATATGCTGGGTGGCCTGAGGTAGGCATGGTCGGGCATTGCTCAAAATGTCTCAAAAGTGGTCCAGGGTCCGAAAAAAATGACAATTTAGGGGGTTTCAGAGGCTTTTAATCAATTTTATAGATAGATAGTCTACTAATATTTAGAATTATACATATCATTTCTTTTCTCCCCAATTAATTGTGGTTTTTCTTTTTTTTTTTGAGTAAAATTGGGAGGGGGGAAAGAAAATTATCTTGGGTGAAAATGCTCCCCCGTGCCCCGTAGCACTGCCACTGCTGAAGGGAAAATATACAGTAGCATCTACTCTAGATGCCTGAAAAGGACACCCTCAACCCAGTTGTCCCTGGCTTATAAAAGAGGATTCTAACTATTTTTTCCCCCTCGATTTTACCGCATCCCCCAACTGCTGGCCGAGCTGGCCCACCTGCTGGCACCTCCCTTGAACACACAACAGCTCCACTTCATACGATACTCAGACTTATTTATTTAGGAAAACATACAATTATCAAATGTAAACAATAGCGGAGGAGTTTGCAGGATGGAACAAATATTACAGCACTCTTCATTAAAGATACTGCGTCGTATGTGGGACCAATAAATTTCAACAATAAAATTTTATATGAATCGCTTTACTGTACTTCATATTGAATATTAACTTTCAACTGAAAATTATTGAAAATTAAAATGAGGAAATGTAGCCAATAAACTGTGAGTAAATCATACCACTCTTATTTGCCTGTATATCGGCTAGCAAATAAAACATTTTCTGCGAAAAATTAATCATTTAGAGTGTCTCATTGAAAACATAGGCCATGTAAAATAATTCCTCTAGCAACCAAAAATTGTCAGTTTGGGAGGGAGGCTTTAAAAATACCAGAAAATAAGAGTGAACCAACAGGCCTAACACTTTTTTTGTCAAATACAAAGAACTAAGAGTATATTCATTAGATATAATATACAGTGCAACATTGCTTTTGGAGGATAATTACAATATATTCATCTACTGAAGGAAGTACGCTTTTAAAGTCTCTGAAGTGACGTTCCTTAACTTCAATGCTCAGAACCCTCTCTCCTTGTAGATGCTGGCTACCGGCTTGAAACTTGCTACACATTTTGGGTCTTTTGACTAAGGAAATATTAACCAGCTTGTTCACACTGGACATTTGCTTAAAGTGACCAGGTACATGGTTACTTTGACCATAATTAGTCCAATGTGAATGGCTAATTATTAAACAATATAAATAAATAAGATACCTAGTGTAGGTAACATTATGATGAATAAGAAATGTAATCATTTTATTGTAAATTTAAAAAATAACAATCAAATTTATTTTAACAGTTACACTCCTTGGAGATAGGTTCCTGAAGATCTCCACTAAGTGGACAAAAGCTAAAGAAAATAATATAAATAATATGGTTTGTTGTTGAAGTGTTGAGTTTACTCATCAACTGTATCCAATTACCTGTTAAAGTGGATTTAACATACTGTAAACAGTTTGATTGAGATTGACTTTTCTCATTAAGTGATGGTCTATTTCCTTAGCAAATACTTGTCAGTCCAAAAAAAAAAAACAGAATGAAAGTACTTGAGATGTGGTGTTGGTGGAAAATAATGAACGTAAAATAAAATGGACTGGAGGACAAAGAAGTGACATTTACTGACATAAACAAGGGTAAACTCTGAAAAATAAAAATATTAAATAAATTAATTTTTTAAAGCCAATTTACCAAAAATGTGATGTTGTACAACAACTGCTCTTTTAAGACACAAAAGCGTGTTTGAAGAAAAACTTGGGACAGTTAATGAAACAGATTTTTAAATATTTTAAAACTGGGTGGGGTAGGTGGGGTGGGGGAGGACACCACGGTTTTTCCACCTTGTACAGTATTTACGAGGTAGAGTAGACTTTTATTTAAGAGGGCCCCTGACTTTCAGTTAACTTCTATGATACTATATCAGTAGTAAAAAAGCTTTAAAAAAACTTACCTTTGATTTGTCATTGACTGAGGCTCCTAATTCTAGAAGCTTCTCTACTGAGAAAAATTTATTATCCTTGGCCGCCAACATCAATGGTGTCACTTCAGTGTCCTATGAAATAAGCACATCAAATATAGAAAATACACTGTACAGTATATTATATAAATTATGTGTGCAGGAAGAACATCCACAGGCAGACCCTCATTGCCAATTCAAATGTATTAATTATACAATTATTTATTAATAGTATTTAAAAAAAATTATTTAGTCTCATTCCTCTCTCTTTACAGATTACACAACCCCAATGCTAACCTAAACATTAACCCCAACCAATGGTGTTATCTAGAAGTCTTGAAATGAAAGAGGGGAAGGGGGAGAATGGATGGGGGAGGGTGCAAATGGGAAGTGGAGGGATCTTCATGATTAAGTAGGAGGAACTACAGTAGCTCACAAAATAAAGTGATATTAGGTTAATTTTTAACTACTTGAGTATAATTGTTTTGCTTCTACTGTAACATTTCCAGTGGGAGGAGGGGGAAGATGGACTATTTTTGGAGGGGCATGTATCCCTCCTGTTTGGACCACTTGTCAACAAATTTACAAGCTACCAATGCGCTAAACAGAGAAAACAAGTCCAGCATTTAACACACTAATGTTTTTATACATTAATTGGTAAAGATTGACAAAACGATACAATCATGCAACAGGCATCTGAGTGAGCCGATTTCTGACATTAGAACTATGGAACTATTACTATGGTAACCAAAGCTTGCATTTTAAATCAAAAGCGAGAAGCATGGAGTTCATAATATAGTCTGTGTAAATTGATAAAAACTACTTACAAGTACCGTATACAAGGAAAATTTTACTGAACATTACTATTATTATTATTATTTATTCTGTGTTTATTTTGTATATTCTTTCGGGCAGTTTACTGTTCATGAAAACACCTGTACACCAGTAATTTCTTTACTCAAACTATAAGAAGTAAATTTTATATTATTTATTGTTATTTTTATTGTATTTTCTGTATGTTTTTGATAGCTGCCTCAGATAAAATTAACAGAATCCGCTGTTTGTTAATATACTGTACATTTGAATATGTTAGAATGAATTTGTGCTCCTTCCCAACAATTTTAAAAAGACACATTTTCAATCTGTAAAATGGGCAATTTAAATGGAATTAATTGAAAATTGCCCTAATAAATTCTGGGATACATAGGACATTAAAACAACCTGTATACAATGAAGTACTACCTAGACACCATACTCTAAAGTCTAATCATAATTTAATTTATTATCAATGATGTATAGTCACAATGGCAACCCAACAATCTCAATATCTCCTCCCAGCCCTATGTTCATCATTCCAGAATTTGTTTACCACCAGTACCACAAAAACCTGGACATCCAATTATGTGTAATGTATGACACTGACAGTAACTACGGTATTAATTATCCATTGTGCATGATACTAATTAAAATTTAATGAATAATTTGTTACGAATTTCCAAAAATATAAGATTTATTTATTTTTGGTGTAAAAATTGATGTATACTCAAATAAATGTCCCTAAAATTTTACTGTAAATGTGGAACTACAACACATAATTACTGTCAAAATATGTTATTCCATGATCCTAAAAAAGTAGAACATTTTTAGAATTTGTTGAGAATGATTCTGCTTCCATTAGATTTGTTTAGTCGTTTAGGGGGCGTTTATTCAAGGAAAAGATAAACCCTGGTGCATTTATTCAATGGAGCCTTTTATTCCAAATGAGGCTCTAGAAGCAGTGTTTATTCACAGCGGGGCGTTTATTTGAATAAATACGGTAATTCCATTCATAAGATATTTACTTTTTCGAAGTATTTGTAACTCTTATTGTACTTTTACCCGAGATTTTTACCAATTTGTCTTCAAAGCAAATTTATTATTACTTTTTAATCATGATGAACAAATAAGGCATAAAGAAAGTATTCAATATCATTACATTAAAACAAAAAATTAATTATACTGAAATTTAGTTAAAACAACCTACCTCATCTGCTTTACAGATGTCTGGATCACCTTTCTCCATAGACCTCAGCATCTGTTCAACACTATTCCATTCCCCACGGAAGCAGAGGGTCAGTAAACGGTTCATGACTGGGGCACCTGGAATGCCACCACTTGATGCCAGCGATGCCGTATCTGACACGCTCGTGTTTACAGACATCCTCCTTAATTCCTGATAAATGTAGAAAATATTTTTTAAAATAAAGTTCTCTAAAATACTTTTTTTTAAAATTCAATATTTAATGCAGTCTCCTTACAAGACAGCCTTAGCATTGAGGAGCCTCCAAAACTAACAATAAGCTTTACTTTTATTTTGAACATTTGCTTTTAACTACATTATAAAAAATAAAATGTTACATATTATACAAAAAATACAATATCTTTTTATTAAATTCAACAAGTATAATTAAATAGAAAATTCCTTTTACTACAATCAACAAGTACTCAATTATTAAATATTTAAGTCAATAATTTAAAAAAAAATCATCAAATTTTATGACAGTCATTATAATCATAAGTTCAAAAGCATTAGTCCAATTACCACTTTCAACCAACAAACCGCTCAAAAGTATTAAATTACAATACTATTCAGTGTTTGGTAGAAGTTTTATGTTTCATATTTTCTAGAGTACAGTATGTTTGTTTTATATATTAAAAACAATTGAGTTAATTCTCTGCCCTCTAAATATATGGCTCATAATAATGTTTTACATGCTTACATGGCAAAACAAATAAAATAATTATCATACTTTGACAAATCATATATTTGGTATATCTGCTTTTATTTAACAAAACCTACGAAATAAAATGGACTGGCAAAAGTTTCTCACAAATTATTCATTTAACCATCAAAAATATTTGATAACTCTTCTTATGTTCAGTTTCGAATATTTCTTTATTACTTAATAATGTAATTGGAATTTGAAATAAAAATTTAACTTTCTTTACTATAATTTTGAATTAGGAAGTGTAGTATAATTAAAACTACGTAATTTTTATTTCCAATTACTGGTTAAGGCTTTACCAAAATTTACTCTCATTTTGTTAATGTAAAATCAAGTATCTTGTAAAAACAAATTTTTAATTTAATTGTTATAGTTTGAAGATGTTAACTGTGAATTGCTTGAAGTAGGCCTAATGAGTTTACCTCTCTCGATTGAATACCATAGGAAATCATTCAAAACTAGATTACCAAAAAAAAATCCCTGATCCTTATTAGTGTCATTTATTTAATGTCATACCCGAAACAAAACAATAATCAACTAAATTTAACATTTCTACATCATGAATACATAACTTGATTTGTACGACAAAACTCTACACTCATCGTTAAAAGAATACTCAGCAGGTGACAGCCACATTCACGTAGGCCTAGCTACATGAGGTCAAATAAGGTAACAACCACCATTTTCAGTCAAACTTATGACACAAGTGGCAAACAAGTGGTAAGCCTAAAAAAAACATTACAAAATACACTTACAAGTGTGCCAACTACTGATGTTAACAACAGCAAGAACTACTAGATGACAAATTCTTTCTTATATTCCAGTTTTTATTCATAATGACGACCACACGAATACCATGATTTCGTGTAAATTGCAACACAATCTCAACGAAATTGGCCCGAAAGCTGCGAAATCGGAAGTAATATACCAAGAAGGCACGTTGAGAAAGAAGTGCTGTTGAGTGTAATGCAGTAGAAGTCAAATGGATCAAATTCAAAGTTATGGCATCATTGATGAAGTCGTTCTTGCAATAAAACCCTATTCCAGTTCAGATGTCTTCCTTTGATGATGTTGAAAATTCCAATAATCTTAAGAGAACCTACGCATGATGCCAATAGTAAACACATAAACATACAAACACCTTGATGAAGTTAATTCTTAAGTTTATCTGCCTATTTATTAGTCACGGTCTACTGACCTCTTTGAATACCAAGCCTGAGAGAGATGATGAGGGTTGGTTGGTCTTTTTTTAAAGTGTTCCCACCGAGGGCGCCATGTACAAAATATTTTCGGTCAGCATTAATCTAAAAATACAACTTCATAAATACAACTTGTATACAACTTGGAGAACAACACGAGTACAGATGAATTCACTAAAATATTATATTAAATTATAACAATTTTTACAATCTAAAGTGCCGTTCCCTGACACCAGATCGGTGTATCAAAACAAACAATAACCAACTACCTACAGTAGAACCCTCCTTTGAGACATCCCTATTAGGGGGACATTCCTAATAGGGGACACTTTAAGGGGGACCTCTATTAAGGGGGACCTCTATTAAGGGGGAACCCCTACTAATTAAGGGGACGGGCACACTTTGTAAGTGTGCCAAATGGTCGAATCAATACATTTTAGACCAATATTAAGGGGACAATTTTTTATGGTATCGCTACAACCACAAGATTCAAATTAATAATATTTCATTCAAATATATCTTTTGACAAGTACAACTTTTGAGCGATATCATACCGTAACATGTTTTTATTGATCATAAAAATTGGATATCATAGTCCAATAGTCTGTTGTCTTATGTCATATTTTTTAACTTTATCAATTTTTTGGGTAGATTCTTGGCAAACATGTCTAAAAATATCTAAAAAATTCACTGATTAAGAAAAAAAAAATGGATGCCAGTTTTTTTATTCACTTTTAGGGCCTCCATTTTGAATTTCAAAATGGCCGCTGCCGAAAATTATTTTTTAACAAAAAAAATTGCAAATAGACCATCTTTATCATTTATATATCATAATAGTCATTTTATTTTATCTGATATCATATAATGGGATTAGTGATGCATTCGGAAGAAAATAAGAGCACAAGAAATAATCCCCTCCCATAAATCTTGCTCCCCCACACACTTCCCACTGGATGTTCTTTTGCAAAAAAAGTTATTCTCAAGTATTCACAAAATCGCCACATATTACCATATTTTGCCATGTGAATCTCCCTAAACTTAATCACTGAGCACTGACACTTAACCTTCGCCCCTTAAATCCCCCTGCCCCACCACGACGTCCAGGGCCAGGCCCCTCCCCAATTTTTTTAAAAATTTATAAATGGAGATAAAAGAGGAAAGTTATATTGACATTTAGGCCTAGGAATGTGAGTGCCATCTAGTTGCCATAGCCACAACATTTTGTTCCTCGGTTTTGGAGAAGGGCAGATTTAGGGATGGGAACGTTCCCCCTGTTTTTCCACTGTCGTCTTTTTTTGAAAATACAAAATCGCATGCATATACTAAGTGTAACAGCATTTACTGAACATCAATCATGCCATTACTAGACATATATCTGTATAATAATGATAAACACTAGCAGTCTGATAAAAGCAATGCTGCAGAATTCTAATTCAAAAACTCAGATCATGTTTTCAATTTAGAAAAAAAAGTTCAATTAAAAGTATTTTGGTGGTGGTGGTGCTGCAGTAGTGGCCTGCCTCGGTTTGTTTGATTGTGGTGTGTAAAAATGACCTCCTAAATTAGGAGTATAT